GCTGCTTCCCTGTTCTATTGTTTCAGTCACCAACAGAAAGTAAGGGCAATGCTTAAATCAGAAAAACTTCGGGTGGGACCAAAGAAAACCACAGAAAATCATTTGAAGGAGAGGTAAAATTTAAGGTGCTAAGTATTAAAGATTATAGTTTCATTTTAATTTATAAAGCATAACAGTTTTAATCTGTAAGACATAATGAATCCAACTCAAGGGCCCTTGTTTCACTCCTTAGAAATGTGCATGGATGGGGAGGCTGAGTGTGTGTGTGTGTGTGGACAGAGGGGACAAGGGGACTCTAGTTTCTGTTCAATTTTGCTGTAAACTGAAAATTGCTCTCTACTAAAAAAAAAAAAATCTTATGGATTTTTTTAAAGAATTTATTTATCAACATGCTGTTGCCTCAAAATGCCCTCCAAACTGTCACCAGATATGATCCCAGGAAATCTTTGCTTTGCAAGAAGGAACTTATGGGTTGGTACCTCTTTGGCGACGGTATGCCAGTGAAGGTGGGTTTCACAAACATCCATCCGCTCCTGGTGTAAGAATTTGCACTTGTCAGGAACAAGAAGAGCATCGCTTACAAACTCACCAACTGAAAGAAAGAAAAAGCACCTCCTGTCATTCAGGTTGCACATACTGCTCTTACCACAGAGGTCATTATCAAGGCAAGATGGGGCTAGATGAACTTCAGGGAACTTTGCAACACCTAAACAGTGCAATCAGGTCTGAAGTGCTGTTACAGTGTGGAGTCTGGTCCCCCAAAGCAACCTAGTAGCTTGCACATCAACCTTGATGGTTCATCAAGGATGGATTTTTCCTATGTATATAAATGATCTCTTTCCTGACTTAATTGGAATTTCTGCTTCAGAATTAATCATCTAAGAGCTTACAGCTATATAATCAATTACCATTCAATTATAGCAACTAGTGAAAGACAAAAACTCACACTGTCAATTTGAGCAGAATCAAAATAAACATGGTACACTCTTTCTTGGACCCTCACCCCCACCTTTTTTGAGACAGGGTCTCACTATGTTGTCTAGACTGGTCTTGAACTCCTCAGCTTAAGTGATCTTCCACCTCAGCCTATGAAGTAGGTGGAATTACAGGGGCACACCACTGTGTCTGATTCTTTCTTAAACATTTTAATCTGCTTATGAACTAGTAGATATTTTAGCATATTTCAAATGCTAAGTGAAAAAAGAACCTAAATATGCATGTGTACTTATATATGTTTACATAACATATAAAACAAATTAGCTCAAATTATAAAAACTGTCCTTTTACTTTTTT